GTAGAGAGCTGTGGCATCACAGCTCATAGCAACCTCAAAGTCTTGGGTTAAGCGATTCTCTTGCCTCAGTCTCCCAACCAGCTGGGACTACAGGTACCCACCACAATGCCCAGCTGTTTTTTGGTTGCAGTTGTCATTGTTGTTTAGCAGGCCCAGGCCAGGCTCAAACCTGCCATCCTCGGTGTATATGGCAGAAGTCCTGCTCACTGAGGTACAGGCACCAAGCCTTCCAAGAATAATTTCTAGGGCGGCACCTGTGGCTCAAGGAGTAGGGTGCCAGCCTCATATACTGGAGGTGGCGGGTTTAAACCCGGCCCCAGCCAAAAAAAACACTACAAAAAAAAAAAAAGAGTAATTTCTAACAATCATTTCTAAGTCACCTGTTTAGAATTCAAGATTCATTTAACCACATAAATGATGTAGCTACAAAACTGTACAGTTACCAAAGGTGTTTTTCAGTGCAAGTGCAAAACCTCTTAGCTGCATCTCTTAACTCCAAGCAGCACTGAAAACTATAAGTTTTTTCCTAAGTCCACAGTAAACTTATTTAGCAGCAAAGTCTAATTAAATTGACATGAGGTTATTAATAGTCTTTATCTTGGTATGAATATCCACACACTTTCCAGCAAAAATATGAATATGAGTAAGGTGATGCCTGATGTGGGGAATAGGCTGTAGGGGGGCAGGGCCCTCACAGCCTGGGAAATGCTCAGGGAGCGACCTCCAAGCACTTTTCCTCCTTTAACAACATTCTTTCTACCCGCCAGAAGTCAGGTAGCCCATGCATACTTTCCTTGTTATCGGCCAAGTAGCTTTTCCTCTTTAAGGATCTTCTCGCAAACCTGCAAGGAGGGAGAGTTGACCTAACAGGAAATGGTGGGCAATGAAAAAGTGAAGCCATGAAAGACAGAGAGAGGCAAAGCCAGACAGGAGATGAGAGACAGGATGGCCTTGGGAGGACTGACAAGCTGATGCCTGCAACCAGCACCTGAACTGTGGAAACAGCTTCATTTACAGTATCTTAACAAAGTTGTGTAAATCTTAGCACATGGTACAGAAATCATCCTTAAAAAAGAAAAACTGTATACTTGCCGATAACAGGGAAACTATGCACCGGCTACGTGACTTCTGGCAGGTGGAAAGAATGTTATTAAAGGAGGAAAACTGATTGGGGGTTGCTCCCTGGGTGTTTCCCAAGCTGTGGGGGCCTTGCCGTTCCCCCCAGCCCGTTCCCCACATCCCGTTCCCCACAGCCTGGACCTTATCAGGGGTATTACATAACATTTTGCAAATGTACCCTTATACCTTTATAAACTGTGAAAATCTGAATCTCAAATACATTTGGCCCAGCTGTTTCTGGAAAAAGTATTGTGGCTCTGTATTCTAGTTTTATATTCAAGTGCAGTATTTTACTTACCTAATAAACTATAATATGGGTATGCTCAGAAATCTAAGTTGAGATCACTGTTCGAGACTGACCTTAGTGGTGTTCAAAATGGACATTTACCTAAGCTAAATCCCCTGTCTCAGTAAGTAATACATCACTGTAGTGGACATTCATATGCAAGACATTCCTACGTCCATCTGCTACTTTCATCTTAGGATATTCCCATTCATTTTGTAATATTTTTATTTAATGAAGTTTTATTTTCCCTCTTCTTAACATAAAAACAGGTAAGCTATAATTTTATCTTTTTTTTCTATATATCAGTGGTTCTCAACCTGTAGAATTTTGTTCCCCAGGGAACATTTAGCAATGCCTAGAGGCATTTTGGGCTATCACAACCAGGGGTAGGAGTGTTAGTGGCTTGTAATAAGTAAAGGCGAGGTATGCTGTTAAACATCCTACAATACACAGAACAGAATAAAGAATCATCCAGCACTTGGCTCGGCACCTGTAGCACAGTGGTTAGGGAGGTAGACGCATTCAAACCCAGCCCAGGCCACCTAAAACAGCAATAACAACTGCAACAAAAAATAGCCAGGCATTGTGAAAGGGACCTGTAGTCCCAGCTACTTGGGAGGCTGAGGCAAGAGAATCGCTTAAACCCAAGAGCAGGCATCCTCAAACTATGGCCGGGGGACCACATGAGGCCCGCCTAGGACATTTATCCAGCCCGCCACGTGCTTTTGCCGCCCCTGCACGTACTGCTTAGCGCCGACTGGACCCAGGGTCCGCAGTCCGGCTCTCCAACAGTCTGAGGGACAGTGAACTGGCCCCCTGTTTAAAAAGTTTGAGGACCCCTGCCCAAGAGTTTGAGGTTGCTGAGAGCTGGATGCCACAGCACTCTACTGAGGGTGACATAATGAAACTGTCTCAAAAAAAAAAAAGAATTATCCAGCACAAAATGTAAATAGTACCAATATTAAGAAACCTTACTTTATGATTATCCCATCATCCTTATTCCCAAAATGAAATAGCTCCACAGAATTTTAGAGCTTTCGCCTTTGGATGACTCAAATGACCTTTCCCCATTATAGATCAGCAACCTTCCAAAAAAAAAATTAAAAACACTATTTCTTCCTGTTCCACTTTATCCTCTCTAATCATGAGATCCTTGACTTGGTAGGAAAGAAAACAATGAACATCTGTTCTAAAGCTTACAATTGCAATATAATAACAGAAAAAGAGATGAGTACTGTGAAACTATTTTTTTCTTACATCATAAAATTTACCTTTTATGGAAAAGGAGTTCAGAGCATGCCACCCCAAAATATGTCACTCTGGCATAAGGATCATTTTGAGCTGAAGGCAACTGAGAACAGATAAGCACAAGAAAAACTCTGCCCTCCCCCCACTTTTCTAGGAAGGGCAAGACTATTCTCAATCACAGAGACCACTCTAGATTCCTATGAATCCAAAGACAGCACTGGAGGAACCTACATAATCAACTTTGCTAAAACAACCCATATCTTCCATTAGTTTCCACATGTTATATTTACCTGCCCACAATCTGCAGTACTTGGAAGCTCAAAGTCCTCTTCCTTTCTCTTGCCACATTTATATAAATTTATTAATCTTTATTAAGCTATATAATCCCCAAGTTTGAGCTGCTCATTGTCTCCTGTATATGTACAATGCCCATTTTAATAAATCTGTTTTTCTCTTGTTAATGTGTCTTTCATCAGTCTAATGTGAATCTAAACTGTGTAGACAAAAGCTTTTTTGAAGACCTGAATCAGTTACCTACCTACAATATAATTAAGAACGTGAAGCTAAAACAGTAATGATTACTTAAATGTAGTCAGAAACATTTCTTCTTTTCTTGGTAAATAATCTTTTTTTGAAATAAGAGAAGCTATCAGCTTACCCTTTACTTTTAGAGACCAAACCAAGAGACTGACTCAATCGATGAATAAAGGCTCTTTCAGTACTGGTCAAAGAAGATGGAAACTCCATTTCTACATGGAAAAGAAACATAGTACCATTTGTAAATAAACAATTTTCTTTCAAATAATACACAGATATAAAATATGGAAAAGTATGTAATCAAATGTATTACATTTTATGTGAATAGTTAATCACTTATATTCTATACTGCATATATTTTATGTGAAAACTAATAAAACTAATATATTAATTCAATAACTGCTGGATGTCTTCCAGAATTCTGATATAAAAAGACATCTAGGAATTAAACCTAAATGTGATAAAGGATTCAGATGTTCACCAAAGATAACTACTTTTATTTGTGCCGGAATCTTCAGTTGATACAGTGAGTGAACATATTTAACTTAGTCCTCAATTAACAATCTGTTTGTTTGCAGGGGATGTAGAGGTAGGCGTCCAGCCCCATCCCGGCCTCCAGTTCCCCTGATTTACAAAAAAAAATTAATAATACTTTTTAAAGAATGTTTATTTCCTCCAAAGACCGGGATGCTCAAGCATTATGAATTCCCAACAGGAAAACTCCGCTGTTCTTGCTTTCAAAGCTGTGTGAAATTCACATTTTACTATTTCAGACTGGATTTCTTACTTCCCGACTGAGGATTTACCTCTGTTTAATCTAAGTTCAGAATCTCTTTGTTCAGACCACTCCGTTTGGGGCTGTGAGCTTCCAGAGCAGGGCGTCCCCTATTCGTGCAGCAAGTGGGAATGAGCCCTCAGTGGACCCCACCGGTCGCCAGGGGTCGGCTGAGGGTTTGGCCTCGTGTGACCCATGACAGAAGCTCTCCAGACTCAAGTGGGGTGGAGGCGCTTCATATAACGGGACAAGATGGATTTATTTAAGCGGTAGGCGCGAAGCTCCTGGGATGAAAACAACGCACTACACCCAGTCAGTGCGTTTACCTCTGTGCGATGTCCCGCTCTGCTCCCTCCGCAGCTTAAACGTGTCGCTGATAAGGCTACACCTTTATAATTTTTTTTCTTAAGGCTAAGGGCGTACCAGCACCTAAAAATTGGCTTCGCCGCCCAAGACTACTGGAAGCCCCGGGAATAGAAAAACTTCCCGCTTGGGAGCATCGGGACCTCTCCGCCTTCCGACGCCAGGCCCGGCCCCGGCCCCGCAGATGCGCAGGGCGTGTGGTTCTTGGCAGCAGCAGCCCAGGCCGCCGCAGGCCCAGCCGCCCGTGCCCGTCCTCGGGGCAGCCCTCGCTCGGCCGGCCGGTCGGCGGCCGGCTCCCCGGCAGCAGCCTCACCTCTCTGCTCCCCGTACCGGAAGCGCTCCAGCGCGATATTGACTGCGATTTTCACCTCCTCGTCAATACGAATGTCTTTCAGCCCCTTAGCCCGGCCGCCGCCCCCCGGGCCGCACGGCGCCGGGCCACCGCCGCCGCCTCCGCTCCCGCCGCCGCCCCCGCCGGGAGCCGGCGGCCGCGGGGAGACGCTGCTCGGCCTGGACATGGCCCTGAGGAGATGTTCTCCTCGCGCGGGAGCGGCCAGGCCTGCCGACTGACAGCCAACGACAGGGACCGTGGGGCTCGGGGGCCAGTGCCAGACGGCTCCGCGGGCGGCCTGCGCTGGGCGAGGGGTCACCAGAGAGTCCCCAGTCACAACAGCCAGAGGGCCAGCGGCTCGGCTAAAACCCGGCGAAGCCGAGAGCGCGGGCGTAATGACGTCACCAGGGCGGCCGGCGCCCGTGACCTCAGCGCGTCGGCCGCCCCTGGCTAAGCCGCGCTGCGCGCCCCGCCGGCTGCCCGCGGAGCTGATGCTCCAGGTGCCCGCGCACTCCGCAGGGACCTCTTGGTGGTCCCTTTACTCGATCGCTCATTAGTTCTTTCAGTCCCTCAATAAATCAGTCGCAAGCCAATGGGAAAGGAGACAGGGACGTGCGAAAATAAACGGACACCCCCCATCAGTCTGCGAATGTTCCTTCAGTAAGCATGTTTGGGGTCCTACTATGTGCCTGGAATTGTTTTGTGCCCTCGGGATACATTATGGAACCAGACAGACAAGGTTTCTGCCTTCATGGGGTTCAAACTCTCGTGGGAGTAGTGTTGCCAGATTCAGCAAATAAAAACACAGGCTACCCAATTAATTTGTATTTCAGATAAACAATAACTTTTTTAGTATATTTGTTTTCCATGCAGTATTTGGGAACAGATAATTTAAAATTTTTTCATTGTTTATCTGAAATTTACCTGAGTGTCTGTGTTTTATTTGGCAACCCAAAATAGGGGTGACAAAAAACAAGTAAATGATTAAATACTAGTTATAAGTGCTATACAATGTGATGGAATGAGAAGGTGAGACCATTCAGGAAAAGTTAAGAGAACTTCCACTTGCTTGTATACAATCTCACTAACATAAATCTAATTTTAGCTACCATAACTGCTTATACTCTGGTCTAACTATAATCATTCTCCAGAGAGCAACCACAGATCTTTAAAGACCTTGCATGATCTGGCCCCTGCCCATCTCCATGATCTCATCTCACCTTCACTGACTCTTGTCCTTGGCTATGTAATTTGCTTGGGTCATTGGGACATCAGCAAATAAAACACAAGCAGGGCCAGGCACAGTGGCTCACGCCTGTAATCCTAGCCCTAGCACTCTGGGAGGCCTTAGTGGGTGGATTGCCTGAGCTCACAAGTTTGAGACCAGCCTGAGCCAGAGGGAGACCCAGTCTCTAAAAAATAACCAGGGTTTGTGGCAGACACCTGTAGTCTCAACTACTTGGGAGGCTGAGGCAAATAGAATCACTTGAGCCCAAGAGTTTGAGGTTGCTATCAGCTATGATTCCACGACAATCTACTGAGGGTGACAAAGTAAGACTCTGTCACCCTATACACGTATATATATACACACACACAAGCAGAAGCTTGAAAGGTGCTTATGTATTAAGGCTACCCTCTCTTGCTGCTGCTAGGAACTCTGCTCCCACAAAAATAAAGAAACTTAAGCTAGCCTGCTAAAGACATGTGGCCCAGATGTCAGGTGGGACCAACTGCTAAACATGTGAAAAAGGCCATATTAGAAAGTCTAGCCTCAGACAAGCTGCCAGATCATTGCAGCTCCATAAGTGACCTAAGGTAACATCCATAGAAGAACCCAAATATAGCCTATATTGTTGACCCGCAAACTACATGAGCAAGTAAAATGGATATTGCTTTAAGCCACAAGTTTTAGGTTGGGTTTGTTACAAAGCAATAGATAACTGATGCGACCAGTGAGATTATTCTGATTAACATACTGAGACAGAGATAAGGCTGATCTTGGCCAGAAGCAGCTGGGCTGAGAGAATTTGCTTCAGCAGTTCCAGTTCTTACTCAGCTACCCAAAGACTGGGGTCGTCAACATCTTGATATACCTGTGAACAATGTGTAGCATACCAGCGTGCCACAGCACAGTGGCCTGGAAACAGCTTTCAGTGGTTTTCTTCTCATCTCTAAAATTGGCCTGGTAAAGTAATATACTCTGGAAGTAGAACCAACGTGCTCTTGTTATTGCTGTTATGGATATTTCCTTCCACCCTTTATCTCCTCACCAGCCCTACCTTGCCATTTCTACCTGTTTCTTCCTATTCAGCCAGGTCATTTAGGGTCTATTGTTTTGGGGAAGGAATATTGTTTTAAGTTGCTTCAGATCTCTGGAACTTGGGGAGAGGAAGAAGTCACATACTAATATGCCAGTGAGCCACTAAAAAGGATCCTGAGCCCTCCCTCTTGTAGGGGACAACAAAACAAGACCCCTGGATGGTTTGGGAGATCCTAAAACAGAATGGCCTGTAATGTTGTCCCAAGTAAAGCCCCAGAGAGGCAGCACAGGAGACAAAGGTGGTGTGCTGTGCCCGGGCAAGTGGATTCAGCGTAGCGTGCCGAAATAGAGCATTTCCCGTGGAAGGGTTTGGAATTGGCAGAGGGATACACCAGTCCTCCAGGGTTCTCGCCATTGGAAATAAGCAAGGAGTGACTTAGTAGTGACCTATGTTGTCTGATAAACAAGGTTTAGACCAAGGTTTATGATGCCTTGACACCCGATCAGACCACCAGAATTTGGAAGTAAGCCTAGAGAAGGGCTGGCAGGCGTGGGGGCAGGGGGGAGGAGTGATTTACTTGAGATTAAGTTAATTACAGAGAAATTAAGTCCTGCCATATCTAAATCTATGCGATGAAATATACCTGAGGTTCAATTAATTGTAAAATTACTTCCAGCTGTATTATTTATTACATTATGTAATGATGTATCTATAAAATGGATATTGTGCTATACTCTGTACACATACCTACCTACCAGCCTATCTACATAGTAATCAGCCTTTTTTTTTTTTTTTTTTTTTTTTGAAGCAGAGTCTCCTCACCTGGGCTAGAGTGCCCTAGCATCAGCCTAGTTCACAACAACCTCAAATTCCTGGATTCAAGTAATCCTAATCCTCCTACCTCAGTTTTCTGAGTAACTGGTACTACAGGTGCCTGCTACCATGCCCAGCTAATTTTTCTATTTTTTTAGTAGAGACAAACTCCTGAGTTTAAGTGATCCTCCCTCCTCGGCCTCTCAGTGTGCTAGGACTAAGGTGTGATCTACTTCCACTGGGCCAGTAATCAGCTTTAATGTATATTAATAGGTTAGCCACAAGGTAGTACTAGAAAGCCATCTTTTTTTTTTTTTTTTTTTTTGCAACTGAGTCTCACCATAGCTGGGACTACAGGCACCCTCCCAAAAATGCCTGGCTGTTTTTTGTTGCAGTTGTCATTGTGGTTTAGCTCGCCCAGGCTGAGTTCGAACCCACCACCCTCCGTGTATGTGGCTGGTGCCGTAACCACTGTGCTACAGGTGCTGAGCCAAGAAAGCCATCTTTTATTACGGTCCTATGTGTTATCCATAAATGATTTTAACGAACAAGTTCTGTAATCTTGTGTAATAACAACAGCAATCATAGCAAAGTTGTGATAGCGGCAATTAGGTTCATGGGAGGCAGGATTCATATTTAAAAGTCACAAAAATAAACTTTCTGGAAGATGCTATCAACCAGTTTGTATTCTTCTATTTCTTATCCATTATCATGTGGTTGGATGTCCCAATCACTATGTGTGTCACTAAACCCCAATGTATTCTAACACCATAAACAAAAAAAAATTAAATAGATAATGGTCTCTTAGGTCCTAGAGTTTAAAATTTAAATGAGTATTTTTAAGTAAGATAGGCACTGGGCTGAGAGACATGGGTGTGGCCATATGATGGCATGTTTAACTTCTCCAAACCTAACTTTTTCCCCTCTGAAGAGGCTGCTGTGAGCTATGATACCATCTACCCAGTGCAACAGAGTAAGATGCTGTCTCTAAAATAAAATATAAAATGGTGATTAAAAAATGAGTATTTTTACAGAATGTGCCTCAGAAATATCCAGACCACCCTTACCTTCTCTGGAACACTAAAAGCTCAACTCCAAAATGTGAACACTGCAAGTCACCAAACAAATGGTGTAACCTGCTGAGCACTCACTATTGCTCACCAGGGATGCCCAAGGAGAGGACAGTCTTGCTAGGTTTGTTGGTTTTGTTTGGTTTTAAGGAGAAGTAATTTTGAAAAGTTAAAATGGGAAGAAGAGGTTTGGGCAATCTCACAGGAAGGACTTACTAAGAAAAGAGAAAGCCGCGGGTCAATCCTGAAAGCCCCCGTTAGGAGCATGGAGAGGCAGGGTGAAGGGACTGAGGACAAAAAGCAGGAATGCGAGGGGACTGGTGCAGGTCTAGCCTGTGGTCTGGTAGCAGAGGAAGTTTACTTCACTGGCAAGTAGAGCCACTGTGTGCTTTTGGAGACAGGAATGATGTAAATTTGTCAGTTGCCACATGTCCTTATAGAATTGTAAGGAAATGATGCTGTTAGGATGCCAGTCAAGAGCAGGATGTAAGAGTCAAGTGTAGGCTAGGCGTGGTGCCTCACATCTGTAATCCCAGCAGTTGGAGAGTTTGAAGTCGGAGGAGTACTTGAAACCAGGAGTTCAAGAGCAGCCTGAGCAACATGGCAGGACCCCTGTCCTACAAGAAATTTAAAAATTAGCCGAGCGTGGTGGAACACTCCTGTAGTCCCAGCTACTCAGGCGGCTGAGGCAGAAGGATGGCTTGAGCCCAGGAGTTTGAGGTTGCAGTGAGCTACGATCATACCACAGCACTGTAGCCAGGGTGACAGAGCAAGACGCTGTCTCAAAAAAAAAAAAAAAGTCTAGTGTAGAAATGATTACATTTTAAAGAATTTAACTGTGGTGGTGAAGAGAATCAGAGGAAAATCTAGGACAGGCTGTGGTAGAGTTGAGAGCATGAACATTCCTAAGTTTCTCCCTCAGGAGACTGTTATGAAGAACTTGGAGACCAACAGAGTCTATTTCGTGAGGCTCTCTCCTGGGACTCTGAAGAACACCAGAAACCTCTTCAAAACAAAAAGAGTTATTGCTAATATTTAAAGTGTCCATTTTATGAAAGGATCTGGTTCTTAAAGCAGGCAAAATTTACTCACGCAGGTAGCTGAAGAAGAATTAGACATGTTTTCATAGCTTGACAGTGTATATACATCCCACGACTTAATAGTTTTATTTTCCCTATAACACACTAAGTACATTGTA